ACAACAACAACAACAACAACAACATGGTAGTCATCATCGTCATCAATATCATCATCACCAACAACAACAACGTAATTATAATAAAAATAGGCTTTGCAGGCTTTTAGTTGAAATCCATTTTACGATGGGCATAACTTTTTGAAGTAAAAATATTATTATTATTATTATTATTATCATTATCACTATAATTATCATCATTATCATCATCATCATCATTATCATCATCATTATCATCATCAGCATCGTTATCATTATAATAATAATAATAATTATTATTATTATCATCATTATCATTATTATTATCATTATTATTATTATGACCGAAGCGTCGTTATTAACAATACGACCACTTTTTCATCGTAACGTCTGCCTCCGGGCACTTAGTTTTATTTTCATCACAACACAAAAGTGACGAAATGAAACATCACAATGATAATTTCAATGCAAACAATGCTATACAGTCAATCAAATTCTAAGACAAACTAAGATATATCGTGAAAAAAACACGAGTTTATCAAAATTTTGATATACAACATCACCCCTATAAAATATATAGTGATAAAATCATTGATTTATAGTCATTTATGAAATATGACTTGAAAAAAAGGCAAAAAATACGCTCGGCTGGCATGGTAAAAAAGACGATTAGTAACAGAGATAGATCAATAATGATAAATCTTCCTAAAATGTTAGCGCTACCTAAATTGGACTACTGCATACAAAGCATGGTGTCCTCACTGGCAAAGAGACAAAGAAATGTTGGAAAAGTTCAAAGACGGACAACCTGGATGATTAACAATTGTGAAAGACTTTCATATGGGGAAGGATTGAAGAGATATGGACTGACAATTTTGGACAAACGTAGGACTAGAGGAGATCTTATTCAGGCTTACCATATCATAACGGGTAAAGATGAGATAGATTCATCCATATTCTTCCAATTTACAGAAAATAGAAACACAAGAGGGCACCAGTACAAGCTTTTCAAAGAAAGGGTAGAAACAATATAAAGATGATTTTTCAGTTTGAGAGTTGTTGAACATTGGAATAAGCTGGACGAAAAAACTGTAACAGCTCCTACAACGAAGGAGTTCAAAGTCAGACTTGGAAGATTCATATTTTAAATTCATATTATTAGTCAAAATCAATCCAGTGGTTCTCACACTGTTCATCTACTGAACCACTGTAATCCTTGTTATGTTGTGTTATGTTTTGTTACCTTATGTTAAATCTGTTAAAATAGTTTAAGTTCACGCTAAACGATTTAAACTAGAAAATATTTCAAAACCAGCCTTCACTTTTAAATTTTTTTGTACGTGTTTCCTTTTATGTAAAAATTTTTTGTGCGCGTGGATAACAAATTTATAATGGTGATTTTTTCGTTTTATCGTCTGCCATAATTCAATCAAACTTTACATTTCAATTTACAATGAGAATAATTTTTTTTCAAACAAATAATTAGTAATTTGTGAATAAACCCAACTATGATGTTGAAGTTGGTGTCAGTTTGTTTTTCATGCAGATGGCAAGATAGCCCTTTTTCTTCTAACCACAAAAGATTCAAAATTTTTAAAATAATTCCGATTTTTATTTTGATTCACAGATGGATTCCTTTGTACGCCAGCTAGTTTGTTTAACGTTGTCAGTTCTTTTAATTGTTCCCTTAACTTTCGGTGAAGATGAAGAAAATGCCAAACTTTTAGTGGCCAAGTCAGTCCTAAACAACATTCTGGTTGAAGACAAGGAGCTGACTGTCCAATATGATGTCTACAATGTTGGGACCAGGTACATTCATTGTAGTAATTACAAATAATTTGATATAACATTAAATATGATTATGATCATTATAAGAATTGGGTTATTATTATTATTTTTATTATTAGCATTAGATTAGTGATTAGGATTTGATGTTTGTTAGCAGGTTAGGAATTATATATTATATATATATTATATATGAAAATATATATATATATATACTAGAGTCTATAAATGTATATATTCTAAACACTATTATTTTTGAAATTTTCTCCAAATAGTGCTGCTTATGAGGTCAAATTAGAGGAAAAGTCATTTCAGAGCACTGACTTCGAGGTCTTGCATGGAAGCCTAGTGGCACAATGGAATAGAATTGGACCGTTAGCATTTTTTTCAGAAATATAAATACTTTTTATTAATTATATTCATGGTTTTTGGTAACAGAACAGTCCAATAAGAAATAGTCTTATATAAAATTAAAATGATATAATAATGCATGTCTTACTTATCTGCTCCCTGTTATATTTTGAAAATGGTTCCTATCAAAAATATTAAAAAACAAATTATAATATAATTATAATGTTATATAATGACCATAATTACAGGGGCACCAATGTGACTCACGTCATCGTACTGAAACCACTAAAATCTGGTTACTTCAACTTTTCCGCAGCCGAGATTAGCTATCTACCATCTGAAAATGATGTTGAACCACAGGTTTTTATTGGACTTTCTTTAAAATAATAATACTTATAAGAAAAATAGTAATTATAATGTTTTTTGGGGTGTTCGTTCAATCATTCATTCATAGGTATTAAATTGTATAAACTTTTGTAATCACTTAGAAGTAAATAGATTAAATGAATGAATGAGGGAAAATTTTTTTTTAATGATTAATGTTATAATGAATAATAGTTATTGTGTAATATTTAGCAGTGTTATTCAATCAATCAATCGTCATTTTGCATCCAAAGACCCGGTTCCCCAAGGTAGGGCATTGTTTTCTTTGCCATCAACTTTTTGTGCCAAATTAGACGATCAGTTGTATCAATTTCATTTAAATTTAAAGCTTTCATGTCTTGCTCGATTGTTTGCAACCAGGACTTCTTTGGACGGCCTTTGGAATGTGTGCCAGGTACTTCAACATCTGCAAGAGAAGTTATGGCACTGTTTTTACTTCGTTTGACATGACCAAACCACCTCAAACGGTGTTGCCGGCATTCGTCCTGTATATCATCTAAACCAGCATGATGCAGGATTTCGGTAGATTTGATGTGGTCCTTCAGACTAATTCGTTTCATCCATCGGAGCATTTTCATGTCGGTTCGTTGAAGTTGTTGTTCCAGTTTGGTTGTCATTGGCCATGTTTCTGCACCATATAACAACACCGGACGTATCACAGATTTATAAAGTCTTGATCGTAGTGGTAGTGGGATGTCACGCCGCATCAATATAGAGGCAAGAAGATGCCATTTATTCCAGGCTGCACGTATGCTTGAGCATTTTTTGTGATTTCCATGCTGCGGCCAGTCAGTGATCCAACATTGAGCGTTTCAAGTCTAAGTACCAGAGGGGCCATTCTGAATTTTTCTGCAACATCCCTCTGCTATTGCATACTTCCCAGGTATTCTTGGCACTCCTTGACCACTTAAGGCCTGCTGGGGACTAGGGGCCGTTGTTTTTTTTTGTGATGGCATAAGAGTAATTTGGGAAAAGTTTTTACATCCGGACACCCATCCTGATGACAACCACCAGTTATAAGCGGTGGGCCTAGCCTTTTGCTCAAAAACACGCAAGGCAGCGTGGATGCAGTTATATGTCATGCCCAGGACCACCAACATTAATTAACATTAGAAAAAATTAAAACAAAATGTGTACAAATAAGCTACCTCTCTATCAACTATTGCATTGAATGTTATAACTACAATTTCTTGGTAGTGATTTAATAGTCTTTTTTACTCTCCAAAGAGTATTATTGTAATTTATTTGACTGATATCTATTATCATATGTATAAATAATTATTATATGCGTTATTTAGTTATAATAAATTCTCGTTTATTATGAACAAACAATAAGTTTGTAACATAATGGGGCATTCCAAAAGAGTAAATCTTAACTAAGTGGAATCTCCAACATTCAAAAAAGTAATCCATAAATAAATTCATAGTTCGATTAAATAAATGTAAATTAAATAATTTTTTTTTTCTTTTTTAAAACTTTTAAAGAATTAATTTTTAAAACATATATATAAAATATGAAAAATTTATGTTTAAAACCAATTAATATATGCATACATATACATACACATATTTACACACCCATACATATACTATACATACATTTATAGACACACATACGAAACGAAATTTTATTTGCTTCTCAATATTCAAAAATAATAAGGAAGCAGGAAGACCATAATAAAATTTGTATAGAAATTCATCTGGTATGGCCACCTAATCAGAAATGTTCCGTGTTAAAACAAAAATGTTCAGTAAATAAAATAATAATTCTATTTCATGAATCATATAGCAAAAATTATTTAATAGTATAAATAGAATAACAGAAATAAGTAAAAATTGGCAGTTTTTAATAAAAAAAAGTTATATAAGTATTTATAAAGTATAGCATTTGTGAGTAAGATTATCACAGTCACGTATGTTTAATTAGATACTTCTTCAGTTTTATTTTAAAACTATGCAATGAATTGAAATCAACATCGAAACCGCTGTTCACGATTTCGTTCCAAGTTCTTGGCCCTTTACAGAAAATGTGTGAAAACATGATGTTCGTTTTCGATTTGTTGGAGACGAGATTGTTGGGTTTTCAAGATTGCTTTTTCATCCTGTAATAATCTCGAAACAACTCTGGCAATCTGTTCGTCAACTGTTTGTACACGAAGATCATCTCATAATATATGTTCAACTCCAAAAAATTTAAATTTTGCGTTATGTTGAAGAGTGGTTGACTGTGGTCCTTTCGTTTTGATCCTGTCACAATTCTAACTGCTCGTTTCATCAAACTTTTTACTGGCATCGTGGTTGCGTGATACGATGACGCCCAGATTGTGTTACAGTAAGTTATCAACGGCGTGCACAGAGAATTGTACAGCAAGTTCAGACATTTCCAAGGAAGGAATGATTTTACTTTATTTATCGTTTCTATTGTCTTTGATAACTTATTTGCAATATATTTTGTATGGTGTTTGAACGAAAGTTTTGACTCAAAATAAACGCCTAAAAATTTCAAGCGTTTCGTTTCCTCAATTGTATCATCACCTAACTTGATTTTGTAGGGTTCTCTGTAGCTGAGGTATTGAACTGGCCCAAATATCATTACTTGGCTTTTTGATGAATTTATTGTGAGTTCGTTGGCTTCAAACCAACAGACAATATTTTTCAACTCTTCGTTTGTGTTTTCAATGAGTTCGTTGATTGATTTGCCGCTATTGAAGGCGTATGTATCATCCGCGTAAATGATGTAATCGAAGAACGTTGATGCAGTTGGTAAATGGTTCACGTAGTAAATCGTACTCCCATACACACACCCAAACACACACACATACACACACTCTCCAATATATATGTAAGTATTACATATAAACAGTACTTAAAAATCATATACATATATAAAGAAATTGAAGAACAAGACTTAAAATATGAAATGAAAAAAATATTTGACCTGAATAGTTGTAAATAAAAAAAATCAGTCACGGTATGGAATAGTAATAGCAATGTTAATGTATAACAACGGAAAAGAGGTAATAAATTAAGGGTTTGAAAAGGAAACAATAAAATGAATTCAATGTCAATCATAGTATGATAAAAAAGCAAATAAATTATAACAAAACCAAGAGAATTAAAAATAAAATAAACTATAAAAAAGTTGCAGGAATAATGTAATTGAATAACAGAATTAATCACAGAATAATAAAAAATATTGAAGATCAAGTTATATAAGAGAAACCAAAAGACAAAATTTATGCACGAATAAATATAAATGGATTAAAAACAATCATAAGTTGATAAGATCAAAATATAAAAGAAAAAAAATAAGTAGATACAAAATAAGGGATAAACGGGATCTGGTATGTGATTAGCTAACCCTGCTACCACTAGAGCTACCAATAGTAGTCAGACAAAAGTAAGTAAATTCTTGAAATAAATTGTATATAGATTAAGTATTATTTAATATGTGGAAATATAAAATTAATATATACATACATATACACACAAATTAAAGACAGAGTAAAAAGTTTTTTAACTTATATTTAAAAGATCTAAAAACAAGACAGGATCTGATATACAGTATTGCTCAAAAAATTGTGAACGCTTATTAAACTGAACAAATTTATGTTATAACTAACTCTTTTTTTGTTAATATTTTATAAAATTTTTCTAAATAGTTAAGAAGGTTTATTATGTTTCAAAAGAGCTTAAAAATAAGTTCTGTTCTCTTCTAAAATTTGGTTGAGCCACCTCGAGCTTTGATGACTGCAAGGAGACGAGAAGGCATTGAAAGTACCAGCTTCTCAAGTAGTTCATTTTCCAAACCATAATTCCATACAGAAATAATTTTTTCCCTTAGTTCAGTTGCATTGCTGAAGTTCTTGGTCCAAACCTTTCTTTTGAGCAGGTACCATAAGTTTTCTATGGGATTAAGATCTGGAGATTGAGGAGGCCAATCTAAAGTTTTCCATCCATTGGCCATGACAAAGTCTCTCACTAGTTTTGACCTATGGCAAGGAGCACCATCATCTTGCAGCCAGAAATCTGTTCCTGGAAAGAGGGTTCTTGTAGACCATTTCACCTGCTGGTTTAAAACTTTAATATACCATGCACTGTTGCATACCTCTCCCTTTTCAAGAAACCTGATTCGGCCAACTCCGGAAGCCGCAAATGCTCCCCACAGCATAACTGATGCAGGATGCTTCACAGTTGGAGTAAATATGTTCAGTTTCTCTCCAGTTTTTCTGCGAAAGCGAACTTTATTTGCATCATTACAAATTGAGATGCGAGTTTCATCAGTAAAGAGGACTTTTCGCCAAAATTCTTCGTCTTTGCTTATGTACTTCCTTGCAAAGCTTAGTCGCAGTTTCCTATGTCGAAGTGTAAGAAGTGGCTTAGGTGGTGCAAC